CCAAGGTACAGAAACAATACAAGGAAATATTCATTACATATAAGTTTTAACCCTATGGTGGCCACTGTTTAGAAAGAAATAGAAATACCTGAGAGTGATCCATGTATAGTGCTGGGCTGTCGTTTACTTGGTGATGTGCTGGATTCACCCTGATGATCCAGCTTTCTCTTTCCTTATTGGATTAAAAAAAAAAAAATTAAAATAGAATCCAAAAACATTTTGGCATGTGTCTCGCACAGTATTAAAACTTGGTCTCAATATTATTTCATCAAAGCAAAATACTACTGCCTTAAAAACACCAATGAACACCACATCTAATCAATAAGAGACTGTGTATTTCACCCTTATCAACTGCTTCACTACTGGATGGCTGAACCTGAAGATGAACAAAAATATTTCACTCTTAAAACAGTAAGAAATTATATTCATACAGGCTTTGCCCTGAAACAGAGCTCTACAGGCTTGAACACACATCTTTACTATTCATACACTGAAATTTACATTCATGTTCTCATCCAGTCATCGATGACCCTTGACAAAACTTTGTTAAGTGAAGTCCAGCAAATGGCTAATAAGTAACTGATTCACCATTATTTATGATTGAAAAACACAGACTGTCTCACTAATTACGTCTGTGAAAGTAACCATCATCCTTACCCAAGTAGATTGAGCTGTTTCTCCATGCTCCTGTTGACAGACATTCATCGTGAGTAGAGGCAAGTCATTGTTGGTTTTAGACTCTGTATGGGGAGTGTTTAAAATGCAAAGGTGGTGGCTGTCATACCACCACTGGACAAAAACGAAACTTACGGTGGCTACACTTGAAGCATAGGGTTTAACACCTCGTGCGGACATTGTGGGAGGACTGCACCTGTATCTGCACAGAGGAGCCTACAAAAACACTTTGGAAAAGGGAAAACAACAGAACAAAAAACAAACAAAGCTATAAATTCTAAGTCAATGCAAAGCCAGAGTCTGAGCATGGAAACTACATTAACCAACAATAATGAAACACCATGAGGCCAGAAAGAGTTACTAACTCACACTAATCTAATTGGAAATAATAAAGGAAGAAGGGTTCACCTTTATAGACACTGGGGGTTAAAAGACCATACAAATTAAGAAAATTAAATTAAATTAAATTTAAATTAGAAAAATAACAGCACATAGAGATACTCTGATTTTATACTCCTATGCTGAGTAGTCTGTATCTATAGTGGTTGAGTTATTGATACAAAATAGTGACAAAAGAGCACTGGAGACCTCTACGTGTTATTTAATTCAGTGTCTCTGGGTCAAAGTAATATATTTAGTTATGAAAGTAATGCATTAAAGTTAGTGTACTTACATGTTTTCTGTTCCTCTTTAAGGCACACGCCTGACTCTTCTGCTGCTTGATCTACTTTGAGCTCTTTTATTTAACTCCACCTCTCAGCAGTGTGTCGTTTTCCAGGAAATGCTGATGTGTCACAAGTTCATAGCCCTACTGATGAAGGCTTAAAAGAAGTATCTGAAATTAAACCAAAAGCATATTATATATGCACCGTTCTTTTACTGTACTCTGTACTACCTCATACTAATCTAAGAGGAAATAATAAAGGAAATAAAACGCTAAGACTTTATATACATTGCAGGTTAAAAGCAGCAAACAATTTTAAAAAACTAGAAAAATAACCTTATAGATAGAGATGCTAATTGAAAGTATACATTTTGAATATATCTAAATGAAATTTAAGACCCCAAATCTACATTTTGTGCTAAACTGACTTACTTTACATAAGTCTTTCCATTTTGTTACATTTCAGAGGAGATGGTTTACTTTACTCCACCTCCTTGTGTTTTCTATAAGTAAGCACATTTAGAAAACAAAGGTAGTTATTACTGAGCTACAATTTATTTTTATTCAACTTAAATGATGTCAGTATAAAGTATATGCACACCACAGCAAAGGCGAGGCGAATTTATTTGAAGAGCTCATTTTCATAAACAAAGGCAGTTCAAACTGTTTTACATACTGCAAAAGAAAGAAAGAACAAAAAACAAAGCTGTAACACAGTATATCTGAAAGAAAAGCAAGGGTGTAACACAGTATATTTGACTATTGGGTATTTGAAAGAAAAATACACGTATGCAAACCAGAAGAAGGTCAGAGCTAAAGGGGAATAAGCTAAAAATTTACCAGTGCCTAAGAACTACGCCTTTGTTATCTGTAGTATTTTAGCATGCATATATTTACTGACTGTTCAGAGACATCTAGTGATTGTTGCTGTAACTAAATTTACAAAAGCTGTTTCATGCTGACAGTCATATAATGTTGTTACCATGAGTTTTTAAGTGTGTATAATTCATCAAAGATGTTTTTTGTTCAAGGGCTTTGAGATTCTACTTGTGATTTGTTTCCTTTATTAAATGGTGCTGAGTTCATAATACTCTGAGACATTTCAGCCAGTTTTAACATTTGGACATTTGTTCACTCACTGGAACAGTTATATTAATATGGTTTGACATAACAGGAGATACACAGCAGACACTGACTAAACCTAAATTATTCAGACCATAGAGTGAAAGTCTAATTCTCTAAATTTCTCCCTCATTATTACCCAAGAAGAAGGTTTAGACTCTGAATAGGTGAACATACTAGTTAATCATATATTAATTGGTAAACACATTTGTTTCCAGTGTCATATTGACTTTACACTTCTGTCAGTAGTATTCACTATGTTGATAATAACCCATCAGCTTTTCAAAGGGATGTGTTTTTCCAATCTCTTCCAATATCTTCTCCATACAACACTGACAGCTTTTCAACAGTGTCACAATAATCATCATCATTTCCTTTATCTTGTTCTTGATCTGTATTATCCCCAAGAATATGATACAAGGACCACAACTCATCTTTCCAATCCTAAAAAAGCAAAAGAACTTAATGACATGTAGAGTAAACATCCATCCATCCATCCATTTTCCTCCGCTTATCCGGAACCAGGTTGCGGGAGCAGCAGTCTAAGCAAAAATGCCCAGACTTCCCTTTCTCCAGACACTTCCTCCTGCTCTTCCAGGTGAATGCCGT